TACCGAGAGGTCCGGCTAGACCCAGGGTTTTAGTGAGAAGGGCAGTGGAACACCATCAGGGTTTGGGAGCTTCACAGCATGCATGGGTTTAAAGCCAGAGAAAAAGTCGGGCGATAGAGCCGCGAATAACTGAACTGCTTTCTCAGCCGCAGCCACTCCAGTGCCAGACTTGTGAGTACTCTGCGTCTCCCGTCCTCGGACAGAAGCCGGAGAACTCTTGGAAAACTCTCCCAATTAGGAGACCGCTCCCTACAGCTACCATCCCCTGCCCTCCCCACTTGACGCCGGGACAGAACCACCACCACCCTTCCTCTGACGACAGGATGGAGGGCAAGGGCAGGAGCTGACCAACGCCGCCCCCCCCCCCCGACTTAGGAGGTGGAGATCCCCCGGGTCCAGCCAAATTCAACACCCATTTTCTCCTCCCTCTGCCCCCATATTCCCGCACCCCCTCCTCCTTCCCCTTTCCCTCCTCCTTAGAGACGGGGGAGGAGAAAAGGGGAGTCCAGGTCGTCATGACTGAGCTGAAGGCAAAGGATCCCCGGGCTCCGCACGTGGCGGGCGGCGCACACTCCCCCACTGAGGTCGGGTCCCCCCTGCTGGGTCGCCTGGACCCTGGACCCTTCCAGGGGAGCCAGACTTCGGACGCCTCGCTTGTGGTCTCGGCCGCACCCATCTCCCCGGACGGGCTACTCTTCCCTCAGCCCCGCCACGAACAGGACCCCCCAGACGGGAAGACTCAGGACCAGCATTCGCTGTCAGACGTAGAGGGCGCATATTCCAGAGTTGAAGCCACAGGGCGTGCAGGGGGCGGCAGCTCTAGACCCTCAGAAAAGGACAGTGGGCTGCTGGACAGTGTCTTGGACACGCTTCTAGAGCCCTCGGGTCCTGGACAGAGCCACGCCAGTCCTCCCGCCTGCGAGGCCACCAACTCTTGGTGCCTGTTTGGCCCCGAGCCTCCCGCAGACCCCGTGGCTACCCCTGTCACCCAGGGGGTGTTGTCCCCGCTCATGAGCCGACCCGGTGACAAGGCTGGCGACAGCTCCGAGACGGCAGGTGCCCATAAGGTGCTGCCCAGGGGCCTGTCGCCGTCCCGGCAGCTGATGCTCCCGACGCCTGGGAGCCCTCACTGGCCCGGGGCCGCCGTGAAGCCGTCTCCGCAGCCCGCCGCGGCGG